GAATAGGGACCTATTGCGTTAATCTCTAGACGGCCAAGGTATAAAGAGCATTATGAATACTCACCTACTACAGCAGAAAATACAATACAAAATCATTAGCTGATCAGTGACTTAGTTATTTAGCTAGCAACCTTTTATTGCACCCGTCTCAGCGAAGGTTTAGTCTTGGAGAGCAAGGGGAAGGCTCACGCTATGGATTTTTACTTTTCTTCATTTCATGTTATGAATAACTTTTCCAACATTAAACCGGTTGCTGCTATTTATTTATGTATTTATTTATGTATCTTCAAATGTACTTTATTAGTATTATCTGTAAACACATAGGAACCATGTCTTTTCATTACTTGATTGTCACGATACGCCCAGAAGATCTCTCAAGGTTATGTATTTGATATGTCGACTAATAAATTAAAAAAGTTAATACTGATCACAACTTTTAAGCACACTCAAATCATCTCACAATATATTTCATGCGAATAAACATTTATTAAGGTAATATTTTAAAGTGTGTATGTGTATAAGGCGCAGTAAAAGCCTTTTTTTTTCATTTATTTCTTTTTTTTGCCGAATATTTCTCCACTTTATTACTATTAAATAAAAATAAGAAAAACAGCTACAACTCAAATAGTACTATTATCAGTTAGTATCTCTATTATTGTTGAAAGTTTTAATAGCCACCCATCGCACTAAAAATATGGCCTCTTTTTGAGTAATACACCTGTTGCATCCTTTAGTTTACTATTGACTCTATCTAACAAGTTCTATAATATTGACATCGATTATGTTTTTTTTTGACAATACTGAGGAGACGTACCTACTCTTTAGTTTCGACATTTATTGATATAAATATTTATGAAGCCGACAGATTACTCGGTTGTAATAATTATGTTATTATTCAAATTAGTTTTTCCATATTTGATCGCACGTTACGAGTACATTAAGCGCCTTAAAAGTTAGGCCCAACCGCTTCCAAATTTAGTCTGAAATTGCAATGTTTCTCGTGAAAGAAATGCATACTACAGCTGGAGCATGAACTAAATCTTTTACTAATTATGTAAGCAAACGGAGTAATACAAAAGCCGATAAGCCAAATATTGTTCGTGATAACAAACCGCTTACGCCAATAGTTTGTGGAACGCGGAAGTTTCTGTGTTGGTGCATACCCTGTATGTTGTGTTAAAGCTAAAAACTGACTTGTAAACTAATATTCAGTAACGAGTCGTTTGTATATACATATTCCCAATGAAATAAAATTTCGCTTATATCTCTAAATGGACTTCAAATGTAATACCACTTTCAAAAGATTCTTGCTTTGGAAAATAAACATTACTCGTTTATATGATTACCCTTAGACTCGTAATTTCTTTGGTTGTTAGATCACTGGCGGTCAAGTTGTGATTTCGAAAATTAAACTGTTTGAGAGTTGAAGCCATGCAGGGGTTCGCCCTCTTGCATCTCTCACATTGGGCTTAAACTTTTCAAAATGTCAATGATTTGAATCAAACTCTGTATTACGAGTATTTATATATACCTACATATTATATGACTTGAAGAAATGTAATTGACATGCATTTTTTGCGTATTCTTCTTTTTTGTCTTTTTGTTTTAAAAGAATATTTAAAAAAATCTAACCTTAGAATAGAAATTGAATTTGATGTTTACAAAATTGAATTAAATATTTACAAAATTAAAAAAAACCTATAATAAACCATATATGTATATGAACTCAAGTTCAAAAACTATTATTTTTAATTCAAAATCAAATATTTTTAATGAATCGATATTGGCCTAGAAATATTTACATTTGAGACAGCCACTTATAACACCATTGACGTTTCAATCTCAAACAGAGTCAAAGTTCGAAGATTGCTGCATTCTCATTCATAAGCCTTTGTAACCACTTCATACCATAAAAAAATAAGCCGTATGCAACTAATTAGAACGAAATAGTAGTTTTAGACTATTATTTAGTAGTAAAGATCATCGTTATTCCTCCACGTATAACGTGACTGTCGGTAGCTACACTGTCGTCTGGAGGCCGAAGACTCATATTAAGTTCTCATATTAATAGCCAAATGCTCTCTTCTGTAGGAGTGTGTTTTAGTACAAAGGTCCATAATAAGGAATCCTAACGCTAATCGGAAGCATTCAGACAGAAATAAGCAGACGATGCACGGCAGTAGAATTTGTGCAACCTAACCATGTCCTACTACGATTAATGGACCCAAAAAAAAGCTGGTTCCGTTTGATTTTACTACTAGATGTTATTCCTTTATCGACCATCGCGGAAGCCGTACAAGTTTCGCATTCGCTACATAATCCGCGGGCTGACTGATAGTCTTTGTCTCATAGAAAAGCCAATTATAAATGACTGCGAGCCAACTACAAATATAAAATCTGTTCGGAAACAAGGAAGTTATAAGTGGTTTAATTTTATCTTTTTTTTTTGCTTACCTAATCGTTGGTAGTCTTGGGGATTAATCCAAACATACGCGGACGGGTAGGTGAGCTCACGGGATCACCCTGTGAGAACTTTCTATCACTAGCCATGGCAAGAGCAGTGCTTCGGTAAATCTACCACGGAATCGAAAACGCGACCCTCTGAGAAGATTCGATAAGACATTTAATGGTTCCACATCCAAAACCGCATTCGACGAGTTCGACGAAAACGGTGACCGGTGCTTGAGGGTCCGAAAAGAACCGAGTGTGGATCGGGAGGATCCGAAACGACGTACTTAGGATGACGGCAACTTTGTGTTGCCCCATCGCCTGGGTCAGATATCTTATTACAGGCCACGATAAAGATGTTATCGAGTCACGCAGATTTTTGAAGAAGCGTTCTGACGCTGTCTTCAGACACTTCCATTCCATCATCCATCCATATATCCATTAATTAGAGGTCCCCGTGACGATCTACATTCCTTATTTCATTAATTACACTCTAAATTTAACAATGACGTCAATATTCGCGTTCATTTTATAAAATGTATACCAAATTATTCGTGAAAAGGATATACCTTCCATGATCGCCACTACTTCGATAAGGCTAACCGTCATGATAAACGCCTTATCGTTGCCGCCGCTGACTAGTCCCCGATTCCTTCTCACGCATGAGCTAGCTGCGCTCGTGGCGTCTTGCCGACATACCCTCGCTTAGAATTTTATCATTTTTAAGATCTGCTCGCAAAATCGCAAATACAAGGAGAAAAATATCACCCAAACGGAAAAGATTTCTTTGCAGAGCATTAGGCATTATACAATTTGAGTGGGCTATGATTTCAGAGACGCATAAATACCTTTTTTCCCCTACCTCAGCTCACTCTGTAGCAGTGCACCTTCACTGAAAGTGAAAAAGTGCGCAGTGAAAGAGAAATCAACANTTAAGATCTGCTCGCAAAATCGCAAATACAAGGAGAAAAATATCACCCAAACGGAAAAGATTTCTTTGCAGAGCATTAGGCATTATACAATTTGAGTGGGCTATGATTTCAGAGACGCATAAATACCTTTTTTCCCCTACCTCAGCTCACTCTGTAGCAGTGCACCTTCACTGAAAGTGAAAAAGTGCGCAGTGAAAGAGAAATCAACACTGGAATACAGATGTACTTTATACACTGAACCTATATGGAATCAATAATCATTCCGACCGAGTTTCAATTCACGGAACGAATTCACTGTAAGAAACAAGTGTGAGCTGTGAATACGTGGAGTGCTTACTTTATAAAATAGTTTAGTATAGTTGTGGTAAATTGCCAACATCCACTGTTTAATATCCCGTTTATTTCAAACGAAGCCGCAGCGCTTATAGCCTATATTTGAGTCCGGTCGACCTCGAAAGTTAACGACCTAGTTGCGGGGTCTGTACTCGTGCGACTTCTTAAAGACCTTCAGAGCACAGCGTGCGGGACGCGGCAGGGGTGCCTTACTAAGCCTTATTGGTTAAGCTTGGGGGAGGCGGGGCTCCCAAACAAACGGCCGTTAGTTTCAGCTATGCGCCTCGCGCCGGAACGTTGCCTTTCTAGTTTACAGTTTATTTAATTAACATCTATTGTATTGGTCGGCAATGCCGAAGGAGATCGATGAGCGGGGCTACCTCAGGATGACGCAGGACTGGTTAGTTTGTCAATCTGCATGTTAAATGTAATCATTATTATCAAACACATGAGTGCTTCGTGGCAGAAAAGCGTGAACGGTGCTATCAACTCGAGTTTTTTTTTTTATTGCTTAGATGTGTGGACGAGCTCACAGCCCACCTGGTGTTAAGTGGTTACTGGAGCCCATAGACATCTACAACGTAAATGCGCCACACACCTTGAGATATAAGTTCTAAGGGTCTCAGTATAGTTACAACGGCTGCCCCACCCTTCAAACCGAAACGCATTACTGCTTCACGGCAGAAATAGGCAGGGTGGTGGTANACGAGCTCACAGCCCACCTGGTGTTAAGTGGTTACTGGAGCCCATAGACATCTACAACGTAAATGCGCCACACACCTTGAGATATAAGTTCTAAGGGTCTCAGTATAGTTACAACGGCTGCCCCACCCTTCAAACCGAAACGCATTACTGCTTCACGGCAGAAATAGGCAGGGTGGTGGTACCTACCCGCGCGGGCTCATAAGAGGTCCTACCACCAGTAATTACGCAAATTATAATTTTGCGGGTTTGATTTTTATTACACGATGTTATTCCTTCATCGTGGAAGTCAATCATGAACATTTGTTGAGTACGTATTTCATTAGACAAATTGGTACCCGCCTGAGATTCGAACACCGGTGCATCGCTCAACACGAATGCACCGGACGTCTTATCGCTTAGGCCACGACGACTTCAAGAAAGTTAAAGAAATAGTTAGTCGAGGAATACTACGGGCTTATAGTAGCTTGAGGAAGACAGAGTTTCAGTCACATATCCTGATTCATCAACCTATCAACACTTTACCCTCCATTTGCTAAACGTAAATATGGTATCAGATGATTAATACTCCCTTGTTTGTTTCAGTGCGAACCCGAGTGCGATACAGGCGTATGAGATGACACCGGAAGGGGGCGTGGGGTTGGGCGGCGCGTGCGCCGACTCGGCCGGCGCCCTCATCACCCCGCACCCTCCCCTTCATCATCCAGTGCCGCAGACCTCACAGCAACTCCATCATGATCCGCGGAAAACAAAACCCAATCACTAGTGAGTAAATCTACAGCTATTCAGAGTCATCTATCTAAGTTTTAAGTCCACCCACATCGGATACGTTAATCTACCCTCAAATTGAACATATCTAGAGATAATACGATGGTAAGACGTGACGATTTAAAGAGCCTTCACAGCCTACTGAAATAAAACTTTGATTTTGATTTAGTATCTCTTTCACGTCAACTAATCGATCGTCGACAGCGTAAGTGTCACAAGATGAGATAAAGAACAGTTGTTAGCCAGTAAATAAACTAAGTGTTAATGGACGTATTTAAAACCGGTGGTCGGGTTTATTTTATTAAGTTTTGACATTCAGCAGTTGAAATAACTGATTTTATTATTCGAATTAGTAATTCATCTTCGGATGTATCTTCATAAAAAGACAGATCATCGGTCTGCGGTCGCCTCGGCTGGCCGACTGTGCGCAGTCGTCTAGACGTTACCTCCAGCCGGCTCCACGCGTCATCTTAAGATAATTCGCGCATGTCTAAACTTAAAGTTCTCCATAATTCAATTCGTGTTGATACAGTATTTATACGTAATACATGACGATTTGGGTTACCTTTAATATTTCCAACGAATGTCAAATAAAAAAGAAATAGAAAGTACTCATTTGGAGTGTATGATTTTTGTTTTTGTATAATATGTTTCACCGAGGTTGAGTTTTGAGTATTGAAATTATTTTCATTTAGATTTGTATATTAGATAAAACGCCTTTATGTTGCTGACCTACCGTTCAATCTCGCTGTAAAACTTAAAAATTTCAAAGACTTGAAAAATAATGAAATGATCCACATCTTTACACAGCCAGCTTACTTTGGCCAAAGGAAACACCCAAGGCAAGAACGCGATGTTATCATGGGTCGCTACGCCTGTCACTTTTTTATTCATTGCATCGATGTGTGAACGAATTTATATGTGTTGTCTTCACCGGCGCACATAAACGTCACAACATAGATAGACTTCGCCCACTAGCTTGTGGTCGAAATCTAAGAAACGCATTGTGCAACGGCTGTCCCACCTTTCAAGCCGGAACGCATTATTGCCTCTCGTTAGAAATAGGCAGCGTGGTGGTATCCACCCGTGCGACCTCACAATATGCTCTGCCACCCGTAAATACCAGTTGGCGATTGCAGTATACTGGTATGATACGCTCCTGTCCATTTTCCGGGAATTTCCTCAATCATGTTTTGCGACACCCACGAGAAGAGATCGGGTTGAAGGAACAGCCGTTGTTATAATTTATATATCTTCGTAATGGGTATACGTGACATCTGGTGGTTTGCTTCCAAGCACACGTATATACCTACTTTTCACCTCATCTTCATATCGACTCCATGGTGACTAGGTTTCCTGCAAATCAATCTTATTTATACTTATTATTTTCATTAAGCATGAATATTAGTACGTGTCACATACACTCCACTAATCAACGCATTTTTACGTATGCCTCTTTTGTCGTTATTTGTGACATACTTTAATTCTTAGTGTTGTCGTTTAGTACTCCATCATTGGTAATTGTTGAACGCGAAAGAGATTGCAAGACAGGGAATGGAAATATATCTTATACGTGTAATATAAACAATATGTATACTTTTTAATTTAAGTTATGTTCCCTTTATTGAATTTTTTTACAATATAATATAAAGGCACGTACGATTCCGTGCAAAGATCAAAGATTATCTCAAACGGCTAACATAAGTAACTTCTACTATATCGTTCCCTCACTACTGAGGATCGCGACCACATGTGACGTTTTTCCACTGTGTTCGATCATGGGTGGCATGGACCGCATGGTACAGACTACCACCAAGTGCTCCTCTTACTAGATCTGACCATCTGGCTGGTGTTCTGCCCACGGCGCGCTTGCCCTATATGCGACTCGCAATTATGAGCTTCTCTAATTCATGTCTGGCAGACCGCATGATGTGTCCGAAGAAACTCATAACACGTTTCCGACAGATGGAAGAGAGCCTTTTTCAGATGTTTAACTCCCTTAGAATGGACTCGTTAGTTCTCATGGCAGTCCACGGTATAAGTAACATAAGCATACAAAAAAAAATCAAAGATTAACGATTTCATTTTTAAAACTCGCAACTCAGAAACGTCAAATCAGAAACGACTTATACTCGTACAACTGGCTAACAAAAGTAGAAGGAAAATAGAACAGTTCTTACTCATAAAATATCAATAAACTCAACAAGTCTCGAACAAGGCTCCCTTTGCGATTACAACATGGAACGTCGTGATTTTCCGGTACTCGAATGGTGTAGGCGATAAAAGGGGCAATTAGTTTTGAAAATGTTAAGGGATTTCTAAACAGGTTGCTACGGTAACCGCCCCACGCCACCCATTAGGTTCAATCCGGCTATAACGCGACGATTTTTTTGAAAAGAAGCAACCCTAAAATATTCCTCCTAAATAGAACCTTTTGATGTTCTATTGTGGTAAATATAAATTTCACGGTTCGAAACGATTTGATCGGCGTAGCAGCTGTCCGCATACACAGTGTAAGTCTCCTTAATTGAGTTTAGTTGTTTAAATATCTCAATGAATAAGTTTGACAAATTCGAATCTTATTTTTTAAGAGTGAAACAAAATCAAATGATGACTCATCTTTTAGATTCACAAATACACCCTGTTTCCAACAGACTGCTCAAATTGTGTAAAAAAGTAATGACTGTATCTTCTTCATCAACCCTAAGCTCCCCAAAGCTGAGCGATTGTCGATTGCGACATTTCTCATCCAGTAGGGCACCGAATGCCCCAATATACGAGCTGATATCGAATACAAGAGCGTCCACTGCGTGTGTTGAATCAAACCGACTGCTGGTTGCCACCCACCAAGCTTCAATTCCATCGGGAGAGTGGCTATACTACCCTTTAGGCCGAAACGCTCATAAGTCTTCACTTAATTCGCGATAGAAATGGTTGAACTCAACTAGTTTTACTTGTGTTTAGCTCGAGGTTCCGGAAGTTCCATTTTTTCTGATTCCATTCCATAGTACCGGAGACCTAGTTTACGGCCGATTACTTATTTTAGCTAATAAGCGCAGATAGTAAGGATGAACTATGCTACGATGCCAGGTATGCGATGTTAAAAACGGGATAAAGGGATCATCTCGAAACACTTCCACAAAGCACTCCCCATGGAACGTATGGTACAAAACACAGAGAGAAACGAAATCCTTCCATAGACCCAGAGCTTCCATCGAACCGTGAGAACAGAATTATCGACCATCAGAACTATCCTTTTTTATATGGAGTCAAATAGAAGTATCTAGTACTTGAGGGCACCGGCTTGGAAATGGGAGCAGTATTCCACGCGAGGGCTTGTGACAAGATTGATCTCTGGAATCTACTACTACTACTATGGATGAACGCAGCACATCTAGGTAGTGCTGACGATCTGCGCTCTATAGTGCGGTGGCAAAAAGAAAATGTTTCCGTATTGAATATAAATATGCTAGGAGATACAGAGAGAAACAAAGTATCTTTGTATAGTCAAATATTCCAAACGATTCATAACATACTTAGTCTGGCCATAAATACTGTTACAATTAAAAATAAACAAAATATTACATTTGAATTTGGAATCTGTCATTTTTATATGATTGCTCATTGAGTTTTCTCATTTTGGCGCCAATACATTGTACAATATTTTGCGATATTAAAATAGAGTGGGGTGACAAAGAGAACCGAATCGCTGTGATTGCATTACACAAAGTAGGTACGGAGCCAAATGCAATTTTTAAAACTCTCCGCACGCTTGGTATTAGTAAAATGTTTGTGTACCGGGCTATTAATAGGTGCAATGAGACCTCCTCTGTTTGTGACAGAAAACGATCTGGCCGTCCACGTAGTGTTCGTACGAAAAAGGTGGTCAAAGCAGTAAGGGAAAGAATTCGAAGAAATCTTGTCCGAAAGCAAAAGATTTTATCTCGGGAGATGAAGATAGCACCTAGAACCATGTCGCGTATTTTAAAAGATGACTTAGGACTTGCAGCCTATAAGAGACGTACTGGTCATATCTTAATTGATAATTTTAAAGAGAATAGGGTGGTAAAATCGAAACAACTACTGAAGCGGTACGCAAATGGAGGTCATAGAAACATTTTCTTTACGAATGAGAATTTTTTTACAATTGAGCAACATTTTAACAAACAAAATGACCGTATTTATGCTCAAAGCTCTAAGAAAGCTTCCCAATTAGTCGACAGAGTGCAACGTGGGCACTATCCGAATTCAGTGATGGTTTGGTGGGGTATTAGCTAGGAAGGAGTGACTGAGCCATACTTTTGTGAAAAAGGTATCAAAACATCGGCTCAAGTGTTTGAGAAGGTAGTGAAGCCCCTTAACAACACCATGTTCAATAATCAAGAATGGTCCTTCCAGCAAGACTCGGCACCAGGTCATAAAGGTCGGTCTACGCAGTCTTGGTTGGAAACGAACATTTCCGACTTCATCAGAGCTGAAGACTGGCCGTTGTCTAGTCCCTATTTTATATTCACGTATTAAACTAACACAGTGTAAAAGTAATAAATGTTATTTGCGATAGATTTTTTTTTTCCTTTGTCTCAGTATTTATGGCAAGACTAGGTACATATGTACCTCGGGCATCACGGTTATTATTTTACTCGTATATAAATCCTGGTAGAAAAGAGATCGTGATATCGTCTGCCCTAGTTAGGTATGACTCGGAAGACATGGTACCAAACGCATCACCTTGCTAATGGTTCGGTCGTACATAATGATATTGATTTCATTATTTTTACATCAGTTGCCGTTATATTATGTAGCGTTCCTGAAAACTATGAGATATCGCCGTGCGACTCGCAGCGCCAGTCTCCACACGGACACACGCCGCGGACTCGGACCAACAGTACTCGTAAACGGAAACCATCGTCCTAGTGAGTTTGACTTGCTTTTTGCATTCATTTCATTTTGGAGTAGATTAAACAGTAGTATTATATTTGTCCAGAGTAGCCTTTCCCAAAGTGGGCGATAACGCCCCCTTGTGGGCGTACAGGCCTAAAAGGGAGCGGTAAGAGACCCAGTAAAAATATGGGAGCGATGTGTAGAGGCTTGGGAGGCAATTCATAAATTTATCTAGGAGGACTCTTAGACACTTACTGAACTTTCGCTGTAGTGGTTTTTAAGTAGGTGAAAAAATGGGGGCGCTAAAAATAATTTATTCTCAAAGTGAGGAGTAGACAAAATAAGTTTGAGACCCCTGGTCTAGAGGTAGTGGAACAAAACTGTGTCCTTCCTTAACTGTTATTATTCAAGCTCTGTTGAAATGTATCTCCGTTATCTCGGGCTAGGTTTCTGGCTATTCAAATATAGAAGAAATTTCAATATTTATTTTAAAATACCTAAGCGTGACTGACTTTACTAAGCTAACCAAAAACACATCGCTTTAGTAAGAAGCGCGTTCTGCGCACGCCTTTACCTAGTCTGTATATTGTAGTGCTTTCTATTACCGTCCTCGCCTGTACAACAAAATCCCACATCCACAAGATGTTCAGAACCTACATATTATTATATAGGTTTAAGAAAACTATTAAAGAACATCTGTGCAATAAAGCTTACTATAAAGTCAATGATTATCTAGAAGATTGCACAAAGTGGGAATGAGTCGCTCGCTTCGGGCATTTCAATATTGTAGTAATTGTTACGTTATAATACTCATTGTAAAGAATTCATATTTAAAAAAAAAAGACATGCCCGCTGAGTTTCTTGCCAATTCTTCTCAGGACGGAGGCTAGTTCTTGTGAATTGGCGGTAGTTCTTTTGACGTTCAACAAGTATGTACTTTCATTTATGTTGAATAAATTTTTTTTGATTTGATTTGATACTGTTAATTACCAAATTTGTTAAATAGTGGAACTGGAAGCGCTTATGATGACGACGAAGAAGATTCAAGATCCACAACAACTACAACCACGGCGACCACGCGCGGCACTCCCGACAAAAAGTAAGTCTTCGTACGATCCTGAATAGTTACCAACTACATTTGAATCCTTTATCAATACAATAATATGTATTCTGCAGACAAAATCATAGCGAGATCGAAAAACGGCGACGTGATAAAATGAACACTTTTATATCGGAACTGAGCGCCATGATACCGATGTGCGGAGCCATGGCTCGGAAGCTGGACAAGCTGACAGTCCTCCGCATGGCCGTTCAACACTTGAGGACGGTGCGCGGCGCGCTCTCGGCCTGCCCCTTGACGGCCCGGCCCTGTCCCACTTACCTCACTGAGCGAGAACTAAACGCACTGATACTCCAGGCGGCTCACGACTGCTTTTTGCTCGTCGTGGGATGCGATCGCGGCAGGTTACTTTACGTCTCGGCTTCGGTCAAAAATATACTTCATTACGATCAAGTATGTGCTCAATTATGTCTAACTTTTAACCCTTAATCAGGACTATACAAAAGCGCCGGTGTGTACGTAATATTTGGTTGGTATAAAGAACACTATAAAATATAAGACTGAAGGTATTTATTATACATGACCACCAAAATTCGTAATAATTTCGATTTGGAATGAGAAAGATAATTTATTTCACACGAATTCATTAAGGAAATTAAACGATATTACACAAAAAAGTAGTAATAATAAAGTGACAAACGCTGAACAAAAATTTGATATTTAATGGAAGACAGGCTTAATAAGTTATGAAGTGAATAAAAAGTGGAAAATACTGTTAGCTTGATTAAGGGTTAACTGAATACTACCAACATTTTAATAACTGTAAATGATGCAAATGGGCTTTAATTTTAGTCGGAACTATTAGGCCAGAGCCTGTTCGACATTTTACATCCAAAGGACGTCGCTAAAGTAAAGGAACAACTATCATCGTCAGACCTTAGTCCACGAGAAAGACTCATCGACGCAAAAAGTGAGTACACAACAAGTGAGACTTCTGACAGGATCACTAAATATTAACTTCTGAGTGTATTTGAATTAATGCACGCTGTCAAAGACCTTCTTAGGAATTTCAACTAATCCATTAATGAAATATTACCATTTGAAAAACGTCGAATTTTCTGTTGAGTATAATATATCATACATATGGTTATAGCTGTCGAATAAAAGCGACTTGGCAGCACATTTCGTGTCAAATGGTTACCACCGTCTTCGAACTAACGGCCGTCTGGTGTAGTGGTAAGTGACACGGTCACTACACAAGGGGGTTGCGGGTTCGAATCCCGCCAAGGGTAGATATTTGTATGATAAATATAAATGTATTTTCCAGGGTTATGGATGTATATTAAAATATATGTGTATGTGTATAATAAAAATCTTATATTTATTTCCGTTATCTGGTACCTGTAACACAAGTTCTTTACGAACTTATCACGGGACCAGATAAAGGGGCGTTAAAAAAAAAAAAAAAGCCCCAGCCACAGCTGGGTCGCTGCCTTAGTGTAAAATATCTACCTTATCAATTTGGCAATCTCAGCCGCGTACGACTGACATTTTTCAAATCGTTACTCATACCTTAGCCATGGCGGACACCTTGTTATCCAGTTATTTTATTATAAATAGGTACATAAAATATAACCAAAACATTGTAGTTTTCTTTAAGTGTCGGTACGGAATTTTAAAATAAAATAGTTTATTTGTTAGTCCGGCGTTAGTCCGGCATTATTATGTGAGGAGGGACCATCAAGACATCTAGATAGTAGGAATGAAATTCAAAACGGCGACTAGCGTTGGTATACGAAGTTTGTCCCATACCAAACAGTTCTTCCTAGATATGGTAAGTACGTAGAACAGACAGCGATCCACGTTGATATGAACGGCAGGTCTCTGGGGAGGTTCGAATGGAAGCAGCTGGTATTTATGATAGTCGACCTTGAACTAGAGGTGAGACGGAACTACTTCACGAGTGTGGTTTGCAACTTGTTCGGTTTATGCTCAACTACTTCGAGTTAAGTTGCCTAAGTAGATACTACATAAGGTCATCGGCAATTCGTCCGAATATGTCGGTTACTATTGTTCTTCTGCAAATCTCCTTGCTTCTGATTCGGTCGCGCAGCGAAATCCTAACCTTAATCCTCTCTATTGCTCATTGGTTTACTTTCAGTTTTCTAAAAAAAGCCATTGTAAGCAACTACGACGGAGATTCGAAGATCTATTTCTCTTTTCTGTGCTATTAATTAAGTAGGTATTCTAATTTAATGAAAATCAGTTAGAGTAGAGATACGAGGTCGAGGCAACCATGCGCATGTACGATTATTTCATTGAAGAAGTAGATAGATAGGTTTTACACATTTATAATAGCATTTATCACCAAATGAGAGAAACTCTGTAAAAACTTAAATATAGTCATTAATATTCTGAAGAATTATGTTATACATATAAACTAGCTAACAGCAACAAAATAAGACCTTTGACTCGATGCTTTCCTTGCATTATTTAATAAAAATCACTTAACTTTTCTATATGAAGTACAATACAATGAATGCTTTACTTTGCTTGTTCGTTTACTCATTGTCTATAAAATTATTTGTAGCGATGTTGCCGTTGAAAGCGGATGTAGTAGCCGGCGCGTCCAGGTTCGGTCCAGGGGCACGTCGGTCGTTCTTCTGTCGGATCAAGTGCAAATTAGACACAGAAGAAGTCGAAACTCCCCCGCAGCCAGTCAAGGAGGAGGTGGAGCCGGTGGCCAAGATGCGGAAGAAACACTCTCACGAGAAAAAATACTGCGTCGTGCAATGCACAGGTAAACACTCATTCTCCATTGCTATGCTGATGCGGCTCTGCGCTGCACGCGACCTTTCGCTGAGCGAACATTATTTAAGCGAACTTTATTTTGTTAATGAAGCTATTGACCGCAAAACTAGGCTTAATTAGCCCATTCTTTAGGTTATTTAAAATCGTGGGCGCCAACGAAGATGTGTGACGGTGCTAGTGCGGAAGGGGGAGAGGAGAGTGAAGCGTGCAACATGTCGTGTCTAGTGGCAGTGGGCCGAACCTTGGGTGGTTTAGCTCCCACCACGAACTCTCCGACATCCATGCCTCAAACCAGACACCTGCAATACGTCTCACGACACACTACCGACGGGAAATTCTTGTTTGTTGATCAGCGGTGAGTTTTGTACACTAATTTAAAACAAATAGCTTACATGAATGGGACATTTACAGGAAAATTTAAGTGGTGATAGGCAATGTAATATTATTATGTTTTATCTAATCTTCTGTATAACTAAGTGTAAATTGTTTTTTTTTATTGCTCTTATAGGCAGACGAGCACACGGCCCACCTGATGGTGAGTGGTTACCGTCGCCCATGGACCTCAGCAATGCCAGGGGCAGAGCCAGGCCGCTGCCTACCTTAAATTGAGTAATAGGCTTAATATTGAGTAATAGTTTGTGTTATTTCTCCAAAAATAGATATAAATTCGACTGTAAATTCTAAAATTAGAGCACGCATTGTCCAAAACGTGTCTCGTACATTCCAGGGTGACCCTCGCGCTAGGATTCTTGCCCCAGGAGTTGCTGGGCACTAGTCTGTACGAGTACGTGCACGGGCCGGAGCTGGGCGCCGTGGCCCGCACGCACAAGGCCGCGCTGCTGCAGCGCGACGCGCTCCACACCCCGCCCTACTGCTTCCGCAGGAAGAACGGCTCGATGGCCAGAATACAAACCCACTTCAAACCGTTCAAGTACGTGTGATACATACATAACCTAGCGAACAGAAGAGAAAAAAACAGTTACCTCAGTACTATTTCCTCCTAGGGCCGCTCGACGATAGACGCAATTCTGCGCGTGCGTGCCCTCTCCGTCGAAGCCGTATCCCGGGGCGGGGTGGCGATGGCGTTATCCTTAGATGTAAGGAACGCCTTCAACAGCCTGCCCTGGTCGGTGATCGCGGGGGCGCTGGAGTATCACGGCGTCCCCGCATACCTCCGCCGACTGATCGGCTCCTACCTCGAGGGCAGGTCGATCCAGTGCATCGGACACGGTGGGGCGATGTACCGCTTCCCCGTCGAGCGCGGTGTTCCGCAGGGGTCTGTCCTGGCCCCTGCTATGGAACATCGGCTACGACTGGGTCCTGCGGGGCGTCGTACGGGGTCCCCTCCCCGGGCTGAGCGTAATTTGTTACGCTGACGACACGTTGGTCGTAGCTCCGGGGCGGGACTACCGGGAGTCTGCCCGTCTGGCGAGCGCAGGCGTGGCACACGTCGTCACAAGGATCCGACGGTTGGGGCTCGAGGTGGCGCGCGACAAAACCCAGGCCCTGTTGTTTCACGGGCCGGGACGAGCGCCGCCTCTGGGTGCCCACCTCGTGATCGGAGGCGTCCGCGTCGGGGTTGGGGTAACCGGTCTTCGGTACCTCGGCCTTGAACTGGATGGTTGGTGGAATTTCCGCGCTCACTTTGAGAAGTTGGGCCCTCGACCGATGGCGACGGCCGGCTCTTTGAGCCGGCTTCTTCCAAACGTCGGGGGTCCGGATCAGGTGGCGCGCCGCCTCTACATGGGGGTGGTGCGGTCGATGGCACTATACGGTGCTTCCGTATGGTGCCACGCCCTGACCCGCAAGAACTTCGCGGCGCTGTGACGTCCGCAGCGCGCGATCGCGGTCAGGGCGATCCGAGGATACCGCACCGTCTCCTTCGAGGCGGCGTGCTTGCTCGCCGGGGCGCCACCCTGGGACCTGAGGGCGGAGGCGCTCGCTGCCGATTACAGGTGGCGTAGCGACCTCCGCTCTCGGGGGGAAGGGCGCCCCGGCGAAGGAGTAGTTCGAGCGCGGAGGCTCCAATCTCGGCGGTCCGTGCTGGAGGCGTGGTCTCGCCGCTTGGCGGATCCATCGGCCGGCCTCCGTACCGTCGAGGCGGTCCGCCCGGTTGTCGCGGACTGGGTGGGCCGCGACCGCGGATGCCTCACCTTCCGGCTGACGCAAATGTTGACCGGCCATGGTTGTTTTGGCCGGTACCTTTTCAAAATAGCCGGAAGGGAACCGACGGCGCAGTGCCACCACTGCGCGGACCGCGACGAGGATGACACTGCGGAACACACATTGGCGCGTTGCTCTGGATTCGACGAGCAACGAGGATCTCTCGCTGCCGCGCGTCGTGGCTACGATGCTCGGCAGCGACGCGTCCTGGCAGGCGATGCTCGACTTGCGAGTCCACCATCTCGCAGAAGGAGGCGGCGGAGCGAGAGAGGGAGAGCTCTTCCCTTTCCGCACCGATCCGTCGCCGTCGAGCCGGGGGCCGGAGGCGGGAATACGCCCGTACGTCCCGGCCCCTGTAGGTAGCGACCTCCCCCCGGTGAAGGTCAAGGAGCGACCTGAGGGGGTGAGGCCGCGCGGCGCGCTACCAGCACTCTAGCGCGCTGCCGTGGAGTGAATAGAGCGACCGGTCGACGGTATATCGCGTCCCGACCCGGCAGGCTGGTTCTGGTCCAGCGGGGTATTCCGGGACACCAGCGGCACCGTCTGGGCGGCCCGACGGGCTGCCGTACCGAGACGGCCGACGTTTCAGAGCCTTCGATTCGCCTCGAAGGCTCCGTCGGCTGGGCGTCCTTGGGGTGAGTCGCACCGTCTGGTTGTAGTGTTGACCGCGGTAGCCCCCCTACCTCATCCGGGTTCTGACCTCGGAGGGGATCGGACGTCGGGTGTAAGAGTGCAGGGGAGTCGTTTAGTGGGTGGGCCCTAAGATCCTTGGGCCCGCGGTCTGCTCACAACACCATGCAGATCGTTGAGTCTCACATACCCCGCGCGCCCCTTTTGCGCGGGGACCTCGTAGGAGGTTCGGCCCTCTACACGAAAAAAAAAAAAAAAAAAGTACTATTTCCTCCTCCGTTTATATCTGAAGTGAAACTTCTTTAGAATCGTTGTGATTTCAGACTCGATGAAACGAAAAAATAAGTCCATAGAGACACAAACACAAATGTATAGGATTCAGCCGGCGAGAGAATGAGATAAAACACATTAGACGTTTTCAGTGTAGTATTTTTTTAATACAGCGCCATCTGTGAGATTTTTTAATATTAACGTGTGTATGAAACCTCTAGTAGTGAATTTTAATTTAGGATTATACGTGAAGTTAAAATATCAATTCACAGACTTCATACTATAAGTACCTCATACTATAAAAGATGATTTACAATTATTCACTAATGACAAAATTTTACACTAAATTTTTGAAGGTTTTACTTCTACCACGTGTGAATAGCACACATGTTTTTTTTTGTTTTTTTTTTTTTGCTGTTGTTAGGACCTCTTCTGAGTCCGCACGGGTAGGTACCACCACCCTGACTATTTCTGCCGTGAAGCAATAATGCGTTTCGGTTTGAAGGGTGAGGCAGCCGTTGTAACTATATTGAAACCTTAGAACTTATATCTCAAGGTGGGTGGCACATTTACGTTGTAGATTTCTATGGGCTCCAGTAACCACTTAACACCAGATGGGCTGTGAGCTCGTCCATCCATCTAAGCAATAAAAAAAAAGTTTTTAACGAAACCACAAAAAAATTAAATACATTAGAGAATCGGAATCTTGTTTGGACCGATAACAGCGCCATTTGCACGAAATTCAGACTGCGCAAGTGCGTCCGAGCAGAGCGAACGTGTTGGATCTCCTTTTTGCGTTGTATAGGAAAAAAAACTGATTTTGCAAGTGTTTTATCCGGTTTTTGGTTAAGAAACTGATGTGCAGACATGTAAGTACTTGAATTAATATAATGTTTTAATCCTCTGCGTGTTGTAGTACTATAACACTTTAAATTCAGATTAGATTTTTGCGCCGGTAAGATTTAATATTAGAATTGCTCCAACTTATTTGACTACATGTGGGTCGGGGCACAATGATCGGGGCATAACGGGATACTATCCCGTTTTGCCCCTTCCTTGTGGTTTAAATAATACCTTCTGTGTACCTACTTACCTATCGATAGTATCGCAACCTGGTTTGCAAGCGTCCATAGGCTACGGTAACCGCTTTCCATCAGACGAACTGTAAACTTCTTTGCCGACTTATTAGTGGTATAAAAAAAGTATAAGTACATATTGTTGTAACTTCTACATTAGCAAGATATATCGTTGCTTTTCTCATAAAGTTTTTTTCTCAGATACAATGGTTCGGAACTATAAACGAAAAACAGATCGTGGCAAATGGGACCTTGAAGTTCTGGGTTTTATGGGTTCTTAATAACAAGATGGGGCTTCCTCGAGCCTCTGCTACATACGAGGGCGGCACTGAAAATTTCGGGAATTAACGAAGTGACACAACATTATTATTTAAAAATGTATTTATTGCTTTTCGAAGTATTCTCCGCGAAATTTGACACATTTTTCCATACGATGGAACCAATCATTGAAGCAACCATTCCATTCGGAAGTTGGGGTCTCCAAAATGGCCGTTTTGTAGGCGTCCACAGCTTCTTCAGGTGATGAAAATCTCTGTCCACGCAATTTATTCTTTATTTTAGGGAAAGTATAGAAATCATTAGGGCTTAGGTCGGGGCTGTACGGCGGATGGTCTAATAATTCTATGTTTTCTTGCTCTAAAAACTCTTTTGTTCTGTGCGCGGTGTGAGAACTCGCATTGTCGTGATGGAGGATGATGCGGCGGTTGCAGTTCTCTTTACGGAGTTCAGAAACGACCTGTGGCAAACAAATGCTAGCATACCATTCTGCATTAACCGTTCTTTGTCCCTCAAGAGGAATAGTCGTAACATGGCCGGTTTTGGAGACAAACGTGGCCACCATTTTTTTTGCAACACTCCGTGAACGAACAATTTTTGTTGGCTTTAACTCATTTTCGAACACCCAAACTCGTGACTGGTTTTTTGTTTCGGGTTCGTACGCGTATATCCAGGATTCGTCACCTGATACAATGTTGTATACAGCATTTGAGGATCCTGCGTGGAATCTTTCGAGAGTTCTGACGCACCAAGTAACGCGAGCCGCTTTTTGCTCTTCACAGAGCGAATGCGGTATCCATCGGGAAAACAACTTTTTTACACCTAATTGTTCATGCAAGATTATTTGTATTTGACTCATGCCAATGTCTAAAGTTGCCTGAATTTCGCGGTATGTCACATGTCGATCTTCCTCAATCAGCTTACGCACAGCATCAACGTTTTCTTGGGTGACTGCAGTTTTTGGACGACCTTGACGGGGATCATCACTGAGCTTGACACGTCCACGTTGAAACTCAGCAAACCAGCGATAAATTGTGGTTTTGGATGGGGCTTCATCACCAAATGCAGAAATCATCCGATCAACACACTGTTTTTGTGTTAAACCACTTCGAAAATCATAATAAATCATCGCTCTTGAATTTTCTCGAGTCAATTCCATTTTCTCAACGACTAAACAAGTTTGACAAAATCTCGTGACAAGACCGAGAATCTTTTTTTTAAATAAATAAATGGTATTCGATTTTTAAAACCAAGGAGTTTTCAATTAACAAGATTTTAATATGACAGGAATAGTGGAAATATTCCATTCCCGATACTTTTAGTGCAGCCTAGTATAATGTTCCGCTGCCGTGTAAGAAAAGCTCGTGATACTGTGGATGACGACACTGATTCCGGTAACAACTTAGTATGGGAAAAAGCATTTGTGACGATTCAAAACTGTTTTTACAGCAAAACAAGAAAATGAGTTGGCGCAATGTGTGAAATCTATGGAAGCACGGTTAACAGGAAAATAATTTCGTGTAATAAGCTTATCAGTTGGCTCAGCGAAATCATATAGATAGCCGACTTAATGAAGAAACTGGCATGGCAGGAGAAGATTGGCCCAGAACCGACATCAGCCGCAAGAGCTATGCATAGCATAGCCATAGAACGTATGTTACCATATAGCCATATACAATATACGCTCGGAAGCAGTTGCGAGATGAACTTTTGGACGAACGGAAGCGGATGAAGACTGATGGACAGAAGACTTAAAAGGATAAAAAACGAATACATAAAGTTGGAAATAAGAAGATAAAAAGGACTGAAAACAAGCGTCAAGCTAAAAGACTCGCCAAAGAAATCGAATCGGAATATAGTTCATCTTATGAGGAGGACGGTGACTGGGCCTGCGTCTATTGTGGTTACTTATACTAAGAGTCAACCAAGGGTTGGACTATCTGCAGTATTTGCCATGGTTGGGCACACGATTCCTGTGCCGGAGTAGATGAAGAAGACGACGAGGCACACATTTGTGAACGCTGTCTGCCCGATTAAAATACGTACTCCTTTTGCCCGGACGGATTACTTTTGTTTGTTTCAAGTTTATTTTATACAAAAGTTTAGGTCTTTTATTTATCGATTGAGGCACTACGAAGTCTGCCGGGTCAGCTAGTAACAAAATAAATTTGAATAAAGTGAAAAAAAAAATGAAACGAAACAAGAAACATGTTTTCCACGTATTCTTTATACAGAAGTAATTAAAACAATAATGTAGGCTTAATTGCTGGAGTCATGGTCCAGACGGCTGGCCGATCCTTCGGCTGGTCGTAGGACCGTCGAGGCGATTCGCCCGGTTCTTGTGAATTGGGTGAATCGTGACAGAGGACGCCTCACTTTCCGGCTCACGCAGGTGCTCATTGGGCATGGTTGCTTCGGTGAGTTCCTGCACCGGATCGGAGCCGAGCTGACGGCAGAGTGCCACCATTGTGGTTGCGACTTGGACACGGCGGAGCACACGCTCGTCACCTGCCCCGCATGGGAGGGGTGGCGGCGTGTCCTTGTCGCAAAAATAGGAAACGACTTGTCGTTACCGGGTGTTGTGGCATCAATGCTCGGTGACGACGAGTCGTGGAAGACGATGCTCGACTTCTGCGAGTGCACCATCTCGCAGAAGGAGGCGGCGGGGCGCGTGCGAGACGCGCAGGCCCGCCGCCGTCGAGCGGGGGCCAGGGAGGCGGATTTCGCCCAAGCCCTGGCCCTCTAAGTGTTTCGGTTCTCTCTCACATGTCGGCCTGGGAACCGGCGAAGGGGACCTAAGAAGACGACGTGCAAGCTACTCTGCACGCGTTTTATGCAAGAGCGTCCGGGTGATGGAAGGCCGGCTATCCTCAACCCACGCTGGTTCTGACCCAGCGGGGTATTCCGAGGGTAGACCATTCTAACCGGCGCCATCTAGGCGGGCTTCGGATAGCCTGCCGACCGAGAGGATTGGTGGTCGTGGCGCCGAAGACTGCCAGTCCGGCGTCCCGAGGGGGAGGGTGATGGGAGAGATGTGCTCCGCACTAAACGCTTCACTTTCCCCCCTTTGCCTTTTCATGAGTTCTGTCTCATGCGAGGTTTGGATGCTGGTTGTTGAGCGACAGGAGGTTTTAGTTGGTTCAACTCCGACATGCCCCGCCCTCCATCCCCAGTGGAGGAGTTTTTTTTTTACAAATATAATGTAATCTTATATCAATGAATTTCTCTATAATCAGTTTAATTTAGGCTTATTTTATGGATGTGTTCGTTTCCCCCCGAAAACAAATCCTTTTCAACACATACGCTTAAAATATTTACACTTAGATATAAAGTTTTTGTCATACTTTTTTGCATTGATTTGCCACCACCACTGAACAATTCTAGAATTTTTATAAGGGTTTTATTATAAGTAATAAGGGTTAAGGTATTTCTTCTCCTCTTTCTTTCGCGACAATATATATACATTGTGCACAACGAAAAGGGGCTACTAGGAAATCTACAAACAAAAATAACATTATATAATAACAAAACTACTCCATACTCGTATCTCTTTGTTATTAAACTATAACCTATATACCACGTCATTAAGAATATTATTTCTTCTGCATTGTGTGATTTATTTCTTTTAAAAATGTGTCTTCGTTTTCAGAAATCCGTGGACGAAAGACGTCGAGTGCTTAGTGGCCAACAACACCGTCGTGTCGGAGTCCCAGGTGTCGCTGCAGCAAGACACGACGCAAGCAGCGTTTGATATTTACAAGCAAAGTAATTTCCATTGTTCAATTATTTAAAAAAATACAATTGTTCAATTTCTGAACGTCAAAATGTCAGCGAGCGACGTCCGCCATGACACCAACTCTCTTTCAAATTCAGCCGCCAAAAGAAACGCATCAATTTTATATTTCTCTTATATTAAGTCTCAATTTGTCAGATAAGGATAAAATAAATATCTCATAACAATAAACACAGCCCACGTTCATTTACTAACAACTCAACACAATACATTACATTTCTAGGATTTAGGATCGGAAAGAACTCAAGAGCTAGGTCATGATAATTTAACCGGGTGTAGAATAGAAATATATAGCGCATAGAATCCAGCTAAACATGAGATCGAAATATCACTTGGATTGTGATAATGGTTATCCTTCAGAATAGCAAACATGACATTTATTCCTGGTAGAGATTGACAGGTCGGTGATACCTGACAATGTCACCGATTGTTCATCGAAAAAAGGATTATAAATGATTAAGTGTTAATGTTGTAACTATTTCGATGATAAGAAAGTTATTTTATTAGATACAACATTAAAGAAATATCGTCGAGATATGACGTTGCGTCAGTAATGCTGCAGGGGTCTCGTGGGCTTTCAGAATCGGACGTCGAGATGCAGCGCCTCATAGACTCGCAAGTCGAGTCCCATAAGATCGGCAGCGCCATCGCCGAGGAGGCTCTGCGGCGGTCGTCGACTGATTACTCGCCCGACCTGCCGACCGAGTTGCTGCAAGACGCCGTCTTCAGTCAGCAGGTTAGTCGCTTAAAGGGTTACAGTGGTTAAAAAAACGCTTTATCGAGTTTTCTTGTGTCTATTAAGTCTCATACGTTCGCAAATATAATATAATCTGATCACCCCGATGGAAGTTAAAGACTTGATCAAAGACCTACGTCCTCGCAAGGCTCCCGGTTCCGACGGTATATCTAACCGCGTTATTAAACTTCTACCCGTCCAACTCATCGTGATGTTGGCATCTATTTTCAATGCCGCTATGGCGAACTGTATCTTTCCCGCGGTGTGGAAAGAAGCGGACGTTATCGGCATACATAAACCCGGTAAACCAAAAAATCATCCGACGAGCTACCGCCCGATTAGCCTCCTCATGTCTCTAGGCAAACTGTATGAGCGTCTGCTCTACAAACGCCTCAGAGACTTCGTCTCATCCAAGGGCATTCTCATCGATGAACAATTCGGATTCCGTACAAATCACTCATGCGTTCAACAGGTGCACCGCCTCACGGAGCACATTCTTGTGGGGCTTAATCGACCAAAACCGTTATACACGGGAGCTCTCTTCTTCGACGTCGCAAAAGCGTTCGACAAAGTCTGGCACAATGGTTTGATTTTCAAACTATTCAACATGGGCGTGCCGGATAGTCTCGTGCTCATCATACGGGACTTCTTGTCGAACCGCTCTTTTCGATATCGAGTCGAGGGAACCCGCTCCTCCCCACGACCTCTCACAGCTGGAGTCCCGCAAGGCTCTGTCCTCTCACCCCTCCTATTTAGCTTATTCGTCAACGATATTCCCCGGTCGCCGCCGACCCATTTAGCTTTATTCGCCGACGACACGACTGTTTACTATTCTAGTAGAAATAAGTCCCTAATCGCGAAGAAGCTTCAGAGCGCAGCCCTAGCCCTAGGACAGTGGTTCCGAAAATGGCGCATAGACATCAACCCAGCGAAAAGTACTGCGGTGCTATTTCAGAGGGGAAGCTCCACACGGATTTCCTCCCGGATTAGGAGGAGGAATCTCACACCCCCGATTACTCTCTTTAGACAACCCATACCCTGGGCCAGGAAGGTCAAGTACCTGGGCGTTACCCTGGATGCATCGATGACATTCCGCCCGCATATAAAATCAGTCCGTGACCGTGCCGCGTTTATTCTCGGTAGACTCTACCCCATGATCTGTAAGCGGAGTAAAATGTCCCTTCGGAACAAGGTGACACTTTACAAAACTTGCATAAGGCCCGTCATGACTTACGCGAGTGTGGTGTTCGCTCACGCGGCCCGCACACACATAGACACCCTCCAATCCCTACAATCCCGCTTTTGTAGGTTAGCTGTCGGGGCTCCGTGGTTCGTGAGGAACGTTGACCTACACGACGACCTGGGCCTCGAATCAATTCGGAAATACATGAAGTCAGCGTCGGAACGATACTTCGATAAGGCTATGCGTCATGATAATCGCCTTATCGTTATCGCCGCTGACTACTCCCCGAATCCTGATCATGCAGGAGCCAGTCACCGTCGACGCCCTAGACACGTCCTTACGGATCCATCAGATCCAATAACCGTTGCATTAGATGCCTTCAGTTCTAATACTAGGGGCAGGCTTAGGGACCCCGGTAACCGTACTCGTCGAACTCGACAAAGAGGTCGACGTGCAACCTAACCCATGCATCAGCCCGCTGAGTTTCTCGCCGGATCTTCTCAGCGGGTCGCGATTCCGATCCGGTAGTAGATTCATACGCGAAACAATTGCTCTTGAGTTGTTAGGTCTCCTTCGGAGGCGCTCGGGCAGTTGTTAGCAAATCCCGCCCCTCTTGGCTGAGCCTTTGCTCGCCCACCTGTCCTGGTGAAACTGGAAAGGCCTTCGGGCCACCAGTAAACTTTCAATCATAAAATAATTTTTGATTCGACATATTTTAATTTCACGCAGTTATTTACGTTACAAATACCATTATTGATGAGTTTTCTCTCACTGTTTTGATTTTTGAGAGTTTGTGATTTTCAATGCACGAGTAGATTTACACGGCCGCGATCTAAGAAGATGAGAACGTGGCGAGAAGGTACCACCACCCTGCCTATTTTTGCCGTGAAGCAGTACTGCGTTTCGGTTTGAAGGGTGGGGCAGCTGTTGTAACTATACTGAGACCTTAGAATTTATATCTCAAGGTGGGTGGCGCATTTACGTTGCGGATGTCTATGGGCTTTAGTAACCACTTAATACCAGGTGGGCTTTGAGCTCGTCCACCCACCTAATCAATTCAATTTTAGATTATTTCTAAAAGTTTTTGTACGCATAACACATATTAATAATATCTCGTTAATAATATCACCGAACAGTTTTCTCCGCTGCAAGTTGCGCTAGTGGACAACATCCTCGGGACCGACAGTAGCACTTCAAATCAGGTTCGCAACAACGTGCCCCTGAGTTCAGTGAGCTCCATCAGCCCGCCGGCGCCGTCGGTGGAAGAGACGACTCTGTGCGACACCCCCCCGCCGCCTTCCCCCCCGCTGCCTTCCCCCCCGCTGCCGCCCCTGGTCATGGACGGCAACGGTGAAGCAGCAATGGCAGTTATCATGAGTCTTCTAGAAGCGGACGCAGGTCTCGGAGGGCCGATCAATTTTTCAGGTCTTCCTTGGCCTTTGCCCTGAATTGCCAAACTTGCCAATTTAAATAATTGGCGATGGAAAGCTGTTGCGGACGTACTTATGCAGAAAGGACTCCCACAGTCCATGTAGGTACATAGTGTATCGTTTCTATAAACAAACCGATAAATATCATGTAGTCTCAGTTACTTACATCTAATGCCTAATTGTTTTTATTTTATTTACTAAAGTTTATATTAAGGATTAATTGTGGGTTTGCATTTTCGCTGTAACTGCGTCCGAGTGGTCTATGATTCAAGATTTCTTTTCAAGTTTTCAGGAGAAGTGTACATGGAATTTTTTTTATTAAAATCCGACGAAACTTTCGACATAATTTATTTGTTATGCGAAGTTATTCAAAGAGACCACTTTAGAATTTTGATTAAAATCGAGCAGAGCGTCGACTTTAAAAGTTTTTTTTTTAAATAAAACAATCTTAGACCACTAGCTTCACCGTCGTCAATTATTACTTTATAAAGTAGCTTCAATACGGATGTTAATGTTTTTGTAAAATATCAGTATACTAAGAGAAATGTTTAAGAATTAGAAAATTTAGGTGTATCTTACATCTTCGTATTGGAAAGTATTGTTTAAACCGATATTCAAAATAATACCAAAGCTTAAAGTATACGTCATGTAAAGCTTCCAGCAATTTCTAAAATTGTTTTTACTAAAACAAATGATAAGATCACTGTCGTTAATGACATTAGTGCAATAACATATTTGAGAGACCTTTTAATAATTATTCGTCTACGCCTGATACTATAGCAGTTACAATATGCATACTATAAGTCTTTTACTGTTCATTTAAGTTAATTAGTTAGTGGTTGTGGCTGTTTTTCATTTGACAATATCTAAAATAAAGTATGTTTTGTATAGATCAATTATTTTTAAATACGGTGTAAGGGTTCAGTGACCAAAGTCGCAAAGGGAATAATGTACTAACTCATATTAAATAAATAGCAAAAAACCGAGGAAAAGTGACTGCGATCTGGCCACAAATCAGGAATCCCTGTATGTTCCTATGGGAACTAGAAACTGATAATATACGTGTATATACAGTTAAATAAATACCTATACCGAAGTTCGACACCCAGACGAACAGAAAACGATTTTTTCTAACTTTTGCGCCACCGAGTCTGACGGACTGGGGCATTGGGATACAACATTAATTGTTCACAAGTATAGTTGTTAGAATACGATTTTATTAATAATTAATAAAATGTGCCATTGAATTTCATTGAGAGAAATCTCTAGTTTCTTCTTTTTTTCATGTCAATTGGCTCATTTGTTAGATTATAAATGGAGTGGAATGAAATGAACTTCGTTTCTTTGAAATCGTAAACCATTGGGATGAACTCAAACAAATTTAATATAATCTACCAGTAACATTTTAGAAATTTTCTAAGATTTCAGAGGTTTTTTGGAAGAACCTGAGATGCCACGTCCAGCGACCTTAGTTTATTTCCCCACACTTGTACACTTACACAGATACCAAACATTTAAACCACCAATATAACACGTTTAAGCCTGAAGAAACTTTAAATTAACAAAGAAAGTAATTAATGGGTTAAAAGTCCGTGAAAACATATGAGTCACATTAGAATTGAACGAAAATGACAAAAACCAGTGTGTGAAATCTAGAAAGAATTTACTAATGTAATTGTTTAGAATAATCTTTTTTTTAATTGTCTTTGAAGGGACTCAAAATGGTTGAGGTGTCTTTTACTAGTGCAATCTAAATTTTTTTTAAGTGCGAGGTAGATATAATATACTCGTGTTAAGTTTGAAAATGTTATCGTAAACGAGTTAATAGCAACGTAACATTATTAAATATATAAATAATATTAATATACAGTAGTTTATTTTGTTTTAAAAAGTAATATAATAAAAAAGGGCTTTTAAATCCGTAGAATTTAGTATCAAAGCGAGTTGATTTTGTTTTTCTTTATTTTACTAAAATTCATGGTCACATGAACTTACCTATTGGCTGACTTCATTTGAAATATATCATAGTGTCAATTATATATTTGAATGATATATGTTATGAAAAATGTTCATGCGGCTGCTAGAGCAAAAGCTAAGGACCTAAATTATAAGTTCGTGTGGGTCAAAGGCGGTAATGTCTATATGCGCAAAACAGAATCTTCAGAATACAAGTTAATTAAATCAGTTGAATCTTTATCACTATTAGAGTGAATAAACAACGAATTTGTTAAAAGCTTAAGTAACTTAATGTGCTCGATTTTGTTGAAGTGTTTAATTACACTTCAGCATATTGTATTTTGTAAATATTTTATTTTTATTTTTTATTCTATACTTAACTCATCGAATGTGCTAAATTCACCTAATTTTAAGTATTGTTTTGATTGATTCTTTACTTCATTTTATTTACCCGACCTTGTCTAAAATAATAATATTTTTGTTTAATTACAAATTGATTTCTTGTCAAGTTGCATTTCGCGCTTGTCAGCTTACGAATATGATCTCATTAAATAGTTTATCTTGTTATTATCAAAATGTTAGGGGTCTTAGACTGAGTACTGTGGAGATTCAACAACAACTGTTACTAAACAATTATGATATTATAATATTTACTGAAACGTGGCTCAATGGTAGTATTTTAGATTTGGAGGTATTTGACAACAGATATGAGGTTTTTAGAAGAGACCGAGAGAGCTCATCTATGTATAATTTTAGGAGAAGGGGAGGCGGTGTTCTTATCGCAGTAAAAAAACAGTTTGTAGCGTGGCGCATGTTTGAATGGGAGAGTGACTGTGAGGACGTGTGGATCAAAATTAAAAGTCGTAATTCAAATGTTCAGTTACTGAATCTGTGTGCAGTCTACCTGCCACCCCCCGTCACGGTCACAGCTCTCGATAATTATTTAGACAAATGTAGCGTAGGTTTTGACCAAAATTGTAGCACGATTATATTAGGCGATTTTAATCTAAGCGGGATAAACTGGGAGCTTAACGATGATGAGTCCTACACTACACCGAACAATTATGGTACCTGCCCAATGAATAGCAGTTTGATAGACTTTATGGCACTTAATGATATCGTTCAGCACAATCACATTCCCAATAGTAAAAATAAAATACTTGATCTTGTTCTCAGTAATACTCACAATAATGTTACAGTCAAAGAATGTACTCACCCACTAAGAGATATTGATGAATTGCATCCCCCCTTAGACATATCTATAGCAACGACGGTATTTATTAACAAAACTAGTCAGAATACTATCAAACCGAAATATAATTTCCGAAAAGCTAATTATGAAATTATTAACAATGAATTAAGTGATATTAATTGGAATAATGAATTTAATGATTGCAGTAATGTAAATTATATGGTTAGCAAATTGTATGAGATTCTCAGAAATATTATAAAAAGTCATGTTCCATTTACACCCACATTTAAATATAAAAATTACCCTGTCTGGTTCTCACCATCCTTAGTAAAAATGTTAAAGCTAAAACACAAATACCATACCAAATACAAAAAACATAGAAATCCGTTAGACAAAATAGAATTCAATTACTTGCGTGCTGATTGTGAAAGGGTCATGCGTAAATGTTATAACGATTATATAATCTCTTTAGAAATTTTAATATCCAAGAACCCTAAATACTTCTGGTCGCACATTAAAAAGAAACGTAATTTTAGTTCTAACTATCCACCCACTATGAGTCTTAACGACGTAAAAGGTCACAGTGTAGATGTCATCAGCGATCTATTTGCAAAATATTTCTCTTCTGTGTTTGAAGCTGATGACAATGTGTACAGCAATATTAATGCTGACTGGATAGACACAAAATGTAGTATGCGGGCTGTTCATATTGAAGTTAACAGTGTCAGACGGAAGTTGGAAAATCTGGATCTAACCAAGGGAGTGGGGCCAGACAATATCCCACCACAATTTATCGTTAAATGTGCTGAACAACTCTCCACACCCTTGTTTTTAATATTCAATCATTCATTATTATCAGGGATTTTCCCTGAAAAGTGGAAGGAAGCCCTAATAGTTCCCATACATAAGAATGGGAAAAAAGATCTAATAACTAATTATCGGCCCATCTCCATCCTTTGTACATTTGCTAAAGTCTTTGAAAGTTTAGTTTATACTCATATTTACAATCATGTAAGAAACCAGCTGTCCCCATTTCAGCATGGCTTCATGACGAAGCGGTCCACAAATACGAATTTATTTCAATACGTAGATGATGTTGCGGTCATCGTTGACAACTCTGGGCAAGTTGACGCAATATATACTGATTTTTCTAAGGCCTTTGATAAAGTTAACCACAGCATTTTACTAGAAAAACTACATCAATTTGGTATCGAAGTTCCTCTGCTTAGATGGTGTTCTTCGTATCTAAACCAAAGGCCATCACAGGTTGTTATTGACGGTCACAGTTCCAATCCATTCATAGCTTCTTCGGGTGTACCTCAGGGTTCCATCTTGGGTCCACTATTTTTTAACATCTTTATCAACGAAATTACAAATCTTTTTAAATATTCTACCTGTTACCTATTTGCTGACGATCTTAAAATAATGCGTGTTATAAATGATGTGAATGATGCTGAACTATTACAGAGAGATATTGATAAATTGGTTGATTGGTGCCAAATTAATAAAATGTATTTGAATATTTCGAAATGTCTACATATAAAATTTACATTAAAACGCAATATAATACCAACACAATATCATATTTCAGGGGAATGCTTGAGTGAAGTTTCTCAGACTCGTGATTTAGGGGTGGAGCTTGATACCAAGCTGAATTTCACTAAGCACATTGACAAAATTATAGATGCCGCGAACAAATCACTGGGTTTTGTACTTAGGAATGGTAAGGAGTTTAAGAAGGTTTCCACTACGCTAATGCTTTACAACAGTTATGTTAGAAGCAAACTTGATTACTGCAGCACTGTGTGGTGTCCTACATACAAAACCCATATTAACAGGATTGAGAGAATTCAAAAAAAGTTACTTCGCCACATGTCGTACCGTTTTAGGCCGCCTAATTATGTTGAATCTTATGTTGATAGGGCTAAATATTTTAAAATGCAAACATTGAGTGATCGCCGCGATATGTTAGGCTTATGTTTTTTACATCAAGTTATGAGCGGTACTGTCGACTCCCAATTCATCCTCAATAAATTCTCTTTGAAGGTGCCATCTAGGTTACCTCGTCGCCCCGTTGCTCTTTTCAGCACCCGCTTTAGCAGAACCAATCTAGGCAAGCACTCACCTACTCCTCGTCTAACTAACCTTTATAATAATCTTGTTAGAAAAGTTGAAAACCTTGACATATTTGGCGATTCCCTTCCAATATTTAAGAACAAAATTATAAAAAGTTGTTGTTGAACCTCAGCCTCAGCCTCGGTCTGAGTACTCGGGTATTACTGCCCTTGTTGTCTTTCTTTTGTTTTTAATTTTTTATTATTATTAATAGTATTATTAAATCTCTATTAATATATTAATGTAATGCATGCTGTGATTGCCTATAATTAGAGTTGCAGTTATCAATTGCTCTATACATGTCAATGTTATTTTATGTCTTACTGTAAACCCTGTCGGTAATCCTTAAATAAATAAATAAATAAATAAATAAATAAATATATTAGTAATATAACTAATATCTAATTCTTAACTTTCAAATGATAATTATGTTTTAAGCATTTTTAAATGCTATATTTAAAATTACATTGAATTCAAATCGCTACTTTTTGAGGAGTATTAAGTTTCTACGGATTTATAAATTTACACAATTTTTTAAGCAGATAGTTAAAAAAATGTGTAATAAGTATGTAACTTTTATTAAAATTATTTTATGTGCAATTACTATATGCGTATACTAATAAAATGTAGTTAGGTATTTCTTCTCTGTGGTTTTTATTATTAGATTTACTGTAGTGTTTTTACCATAGCCTATTGGCGCGTGTAATGCCAGGAGTCTACTTGTTATGAATAGTGGTGAGAACTAAACCATGATTTATTTATGTCCCAATTTAGTTATATCTGAGCGCGTAATAAAAGTGCACTTGATTATAAAGTGCTAGGGATAATAAATTGGATACTTTTTTCGAACAGTTTATTAATTAATAATTTCTATTACATATCATTTGTAAAAATATTAAACATCTACTTGTGAATGAAGTTTTACTTCGAATTCGGCTGTCATGTGAAAACCTAGCCTTAGTGTTTTTACATATTCTCATAACATATTAATCCTTTAATCTACAGTCGTTTATTTTATACTGCTTATAAATTCAGTCACGTCAGTTCTATATTCTATGCATCTACCTATTACTGAAAATTACAAAATGTTCATTATTACAAATTTCTAAACATGACATACGTACTCGATCCGCATCTGTTCAGTAGTTTCAATGCCAGTTCGGTTCTGACCTGAAGCGATTTAATGATAAGGTACATGTACATACATATTATTTATCTAAAGTTCAGTTTCAACGGAGAAATTGACTCGACAAAAATTCTTCAACCCTGATCAGTGTTACTACTAAGCTTAATTACTGGTTTTTTTTACTAACTGGTAAAGCATCTGATGCTATGTAGCTTTAAAAAATTGATCATATATTGGATATAGAAGACAGCTGCTGCAGTTTTGTACGGGGTGTGATGTTACTAGATTTTTTATTTGTCTATATTTGAATCAATTCGTGATATAAAAAACTGGTTTCATTTTGGAAATCTTTCACATCGAATCTACGATCGATGATCTTTCATAATAATATTTTATTGTTTGTATAAAAGATATTGTTTATTTATTTTAATAGTTTAACGAGTTTAATCATATTTTATAGGTTAGGAAACGGTTTTTTTTTGTTTGGAAACTTTATTTTGCAAAATAAGAATATTTGCACTCAATTTAATTGGATTGCATTTAAGATTGGTATGTTGTATATAAGGTCATTGGATTGACTATTAAAGGTTTACCTATATTAGTTATTAAAAAGTTTTCATTGTATGTTAATTAATCTAGCAATAAATAAATTATTATGGCAACATCTTTTATTTTTCTAATCATTTTTATATATAGATATTTGCCACTTTTGTGAGCTACGTAACATAATGAAATTTTTTTTTAATAATAAACATTTAGATTTTTAAGGCGCCCTTCACAGTTCGTAGTGTTATGGTAGGCCACTGAACTTCTTGTCGGATCCTCTCAGTAGGTCGCGTTTTCGATCTGGTAGATTCTGCAAAAACACTGCTCTTGCTAGGGTTTAGCAACACCTACGGTTTGAGCCCCGAGAGCTCAAACCGACTAGGGTAACCTTGATATAGCCTCACAAGGCTATCAGCATAGGTAGGGAAAAAAAGTGTTATGGTGGACCCTCCGACTCCAAGTGATCGTGGCGCGTTCGGTACTTCGATATACAGAGGCAGTTTGGGATTGAAAAACTGAGTTTTCAAGGCGTCATTAATAGCTTGTATATAGCGACGGCAAACCTAGGTATAGTCCCGCAAAATACGGCGGCTGAGCTTATATAACAGATCGGAATCTAGTTTATTATCATCAGATCCTTTACGTTCTCCCACCTGTATAGTTTGCCGACTATAACACTTTAAAACCAAGAACGTCTTGTGTTTACATGCTCACGGCTCGCCTGGTGTGGTCGTTACCCGAGTCCATAGATATGAAAATGTGTCGCCTTCCTCTCCGAGATACGGGATCGAAGTCTTGGTTGCATTGTACAATGGCAGTCTCGACTTTCGAACAGGAACGCGGCATAAATAGGCAAGATGGTAGATCCTACCCGTGCGGCATTACCGAATCATTACCAGCAGTAGACGCCCATTACTGCCCAGTCTTGGATTCAGGAGTCACATCGTACATAGTATTCAAAAAACAAAACAACATAAGTTAACTACTTTATTTTATTTTCAACAATTTTAGTTATGAACATATCTGAAAAAACTATTCAACCGGCGTGCCCGTGTGGACAACATCACGGACCGCGCGCGTGTATTAAATTAGCTAAGACAACTGTGTCATTCCATCGTGTCGCCATATTTGTTGGTGGCGGGCGGAGGGGAAGGGGAGGGTTGAGGTCTAGTGACCGGAGGCGCCGCGTTCGGGTCCAATCTGAAATAAATTCATTATAATCACAAAACTTCCTCAATCATTTTCATCTAGTACTAGTTTCCAGAAATCGCACAATTTATAATTTTTATAATATGGCGGTAATAGCGAAGCGTGACCAAATTTCACTAGCAGAATATAAAAGTCTGTTGTAAATTAAATTCTTTGTTTTGCACAACACATGTACAGTTTCTGCAGTTTTAGCTTTATATTTAATGTACATTTGTGGTACATTACTAAAAGCCAAAGTAATAATTGTTTTTTAATTTCCGCACAAACAGACAATGAACATATTACGAGCAGGACAACTACAAACTACAATAACAACTAAACAATCAACAAATCTAGAGGGTTGCCAACAACTTGAAATAGCTGTCTATGAATATAAAATTACTGAGATTTACATTAAATATAGAGCGGCAGGCCTTTGGCGTACTATTAATTTCATATAATTACAGAAATAAGTTCATAATTTTACATCAAACTGTCTTGGTCCGGCAGTCGATAAAACTTGACTCACTGTTCTTTACTCATTAGATTACCTGCGTGTGAAATTCGGTTTTAAACAGAATATTAAGCACAATAAGCACAAGCACATCGCCAAAGCATAACATCTTCAAGCATGGGTCAAAATGGTACTTATTTATTGTATTACCAATATTTAAATTACAATAAATCATAAAACAAAAATTTATCCAATTCACATAAGAAAATGCAGAGCAAGTACCTAACTATTCGCAGTGCAAGCAAATCGCAATAACCATTCAACACGTAACATTAATCTATGAAATAATGAAAAAAAATAATAAAGAAATGATCCTAGAGCAGGGTCATTTCATTGAAGTGGCTATTGATATATTTTTTATATTTATTATAAAAAAATAAAAAAAGGATACAGCTGATGATAGAAGCATGCTGTATCAATCAAGTTAGGGAATTTAATTAAAATATTCACGACTAAAACTAATACTTTAACTTTGTGCTCTTTGATAAGAATAAAGTGGATAAAAGTTTCAGTGAATAAAACTTTTAGTAATCACTAATCATAAATTGAGATTTTAAGATCAACTAAGTTTTTTTTTACTTTGTCAGTATCTATGACCTCTTGTACCTGTAAGGATCCTGCCTCTCCTTGACGTACTGTCCTCTGTTTTGGCGACGTAGGTCATCGTATGAAACGGACGGACGTGCTGGAATGGGTTCCTCCAGGTTGGGTCCTGGACCTGAATACAAAGTTAATTATTACAGTAAATGGCGTTCCCTCGGTCCTAGGACATGTTCTTCTTTAAGCATTATATAAGCAAAGTACTTTCTGGTATACAACATCGAAAAAAAACCAAAAAAAAAGAGGTCCACCTTCATTATCAGGTCGGTAAGTATCCTCGCTGAAGACAGGTCGGTTGGTGTCCAAGTCGAGTGAGCTACCTGGACCAGCATCAGAATATATATCATTGGTAGTGGCTCCGTACATTGAAGGTGTCTGTACTGGCATTGAAGTCCTGTAACATAAACATTACTAACTAAGCTAACCAACTAGCTAACTAGTAGCTAGCATGACAATATGGCCATAGGCAAAATTTATGATAATGGCAAAATATTGTCTCAAAGAGAAATCCACATCTTGCTGGCCACCCTTCAGATGTCATCAACGTTTATGAAGATAGATATACTGTAAAATATCAATTGAAGTCTCATTTATAATAATTAAGAAAAGATTTTGTTGTGATTTTTATTGGATTTAATAGCTTTTAGTTTTTGTTTAACAGTAAGTAAAGTATACAAACAGACAGATATTAAAAATTTTTATTATATCAAGTTCCTAAAAATATAGAGATAAATTAAAAAATCACATACCCTCCAATCTTTCCATTCTTCCGATCTCTTAGTATCTGCCCTATATAGCTGCCGGGCAATGCCATCAGCTTCTCAGCACATGCCTGCTGGTATGACAACTTCCCCAAGAAGTAGCCAACCACTACTGCCAATGTCACCTTTGGGAATGGACCAAATCTTGGGTTTGGTTTCAGATGTCCTGAAATCAAATTTAATAAGTAATCGAAATAATATTTAGGCTGGCCCAAGCACTTCATCTCAACATGTCCTCAGCATAGGTTTTCGAAAAAAAATATTCTTGTTTTAGATTTTCAATCCACTGCATTACCAACTTCTCACCAGTCTTCTATCAGTAGTCTATGGTTCTAAATATTTTCAGCAATCCAATTTGTATTATGATTATATACCCAGAATCCCTCAAACATTTGTTTTATTAAGCCTGGTTACAACACATGCACTAAATACTATGCATGTTATTTATCGTGAGTTAGGTTTTTATGCCATTTCAAAATGTTTTAGGTCTACACATGCACTACGCCAATGAAACATCACAAAGGGACAATAACATATAATATTCATAATGTAAGAAAGAGTCGGCCGGTAGATAATGCACTCAATAAGAACTGCTTCTATAAAATAATGAACTGTTTATTAATCATTCCATATCCAACTTATTCCCAAGCCATATACATTAAAATAATTTCATATTATTTGCATGTTCAATGATAATCTCATACCATATAAATAAGTTACATTTCTACTTGTAGTATGTAAATCACCAAAACATGTCACTGTTTTCATATATTACATTTTAGCTTTACATCAGGTTCCTGTAGTAAAAAAATGCTTAGTTTCTTTTTTTTTTATTATGATTGAAGGATTACTGGTGGCCTGGAGGCCTTTCCAGTGTCACCAGGACAGGTGGGCGAGCAAAGGCTCAGACAGGAGTGGTGGGATTTGCTAACAGCTACCCAAGCGCCTCCGAAGGAGACTAAACAGCTCAAGAGCAGCTGCTTCGCGAATGAACCTACTACCGGATCGGAATTGCGACCCGCTGAGAAGATCCGGCGAGATACTCAGCGAGCTGATTCAGGTTGCACGGAGAACTCTTTGTCGAGTTCGACGAGTACGATTACCTGGGTCCCTAAGCCTGCTCCTAGTGTTAGAGCTGAAGGCGTCTAATGCAAAGGTTATTGGATCTGATGGATCCATAAGGACGTGTCTAGGGTGTCGACGGTGACTGGCTCCTGCGTGATCAGGATTCGGGGAGTAGTCAACGGCGGCAACGATAAGGCGATTATCATGACGCATAGCCTTATCGAAGTACCGTTTCGACGCTGACTTAATATATTTTTGGATAGATTCGAGGCCCAGGTCGTCGTGTAGGTCAACGTTCTTCACGAACCACAGAGCTCCGACGGCTAATCTGCAAAAGCGGGATTGTAGAGATTGGAGGGTGTCTATGTGTGTGCGGGCCGCGTGAGCGAACACCACACTCACGTAAGTCATGACGGGCCTTATGCAAGTTTTGTAAAGTGTTACCTTGTTCCGAAGGGACATTTTACTCCGCTTACAGATCATGGGGTAGAGTCTACCGAGAATAAACGCGGCACGGTCACGGACTGATTTTATATGCCGTATCATTGATGCATCCAGGGTAACGCCCAGGTACTTGACCTTCTTGGCCCAGGGTATGGGTTGTCTAAAGAGAGTAATCGGCGGTGTGAGATTCCTCCTCTTAATCCGGAAGGAAATCCGTGTGGAGCTTCCCCTCTGAAATAGCACCGCAGTACTTTTCGCTGGGTTGATGTCTATGCGCCATTTTCGGACTGCGCTCTGAAGCTTCTTTGCGATTAGGGACTTGTTTCTACTGGAATAGTAAATAGTCGTGTCGTCGGCAAATAAAGCTAACTGGGTCGGTGGCAACCAGGGGACTTTCAGTTCTGTGTTATCCAAAAATGTATGAAATTAATGATACCTAATAATTGTTGGAAATATTCATGTTTCCAATGTAACTATATTGTATAGATTCACTGATAAATACAGTTCCATTTATTTATCAAAACTCATGAAGCTGTATCTCTAAGTGATAAAGACATGTGGCTACCTACTATAATCTGATTGATTTGGCAACCCAAAAACTTATACAGCAAGGTACAATGGTAAGACTGGAGCAATTTCACTGGTGCTATTTATATTTAAATTAAGCATAAATAAGCCACATAATATTTTAAATAGTGAATTAGTAATTAGAAAGGATTAAGATTATAAAAAAATATATGCCTATTGATAAACAGTCTCTAATAAACATAACAACTTTCTAAAGAGTTAATTGAATTGAGCAAGCTGTCTAAGACTCACCCTTTTGAATAGCTGCAAATGTGCCCAAACCTAACACAGTGCCCAGGGGAAGACATCTTTGGAAGAAACTCTCTTGATTGCATTCAGCTAACACTTTCAGCTCATCTTGAGAAAACTTATACTGATGGTAGACAGTTAAAATTTGTCAAATACATAAATAAATAGTAAATACCTACCACACTAAAAAATAAGTTTTTTGTTTTCAATAATATGAGACCTAATGTAACCATTCAATATAATATTTCGACGATTTACAGTGAGAATAATTTATTGATTTAGAATCAAGCGTCAGGTAGGCAATATAACATATTAAAATTAATTCTAATTTGTTTCATCAATGTTGTTTTAACATTTACTTTAAATATCGTTATTGGAATTGTTTTTATTTTATTAGCTAAACATAACCTTACCGGCGAAGCAGGAGAGAATGGGTTTGGTTCACCGGGTCCAGGAGGTGTTGGACTCTGTTGATACCCGTAGGCATTCGAATTATTCATAGTTTAAATATTTAATGACTAAATTAAAGAATTGACAAGTTTTAAAAGGTTTGATTATTTATCGACTTTTGTTTTAGAACGTAACATAATAGATACGGAATTTCTGCTAACAACCGACGAATAAGCTTTGAGCTCAGTCCATTTATAAAATTTTTGATTCGCTCATATGACAAATAACAGTAGTAGTAGTTTTATTTTTCCAAACGGAAAGGCAAAAGAATCATACCATACACGCTAATCTTTTATATTATTTTTTTTTTTTTATGAAATATGATACTATGAAATGAAATGAAGTTGATTAATATAATATGAAACATGGCATGAAATCAAATGAGATGAGATGAGATGATATGATATAATATGGGATATTTTGATGGAAAATGATAATATGAAGTGAAATGAAATGATGAAATATAATCTCAGTAAAATGGTGGTAATTTACTGAGATTTTTTCAGTGGACTTTTTGGCGGATCCCGAGAAGTTATGTCCAGCGGCTTTATTTCAGTTTCCCACATTTGTGCACTGTCACAGATATTAAACAGTCAATAAATCACCGCTATTACACATTTAAACCTGAATTAACATTAAATAGACAAAATAAAACAAATCATACAACTTTACTCGCGTTCCCGCAAAAAAGTCGCCCGACCGACAAGATTAAGTACGGTAGGTACCTAGGTAGTAGGTCTGTAATGTAGGTATACCTATTTCAATTTCCAAGAGGAAAGGCGAAGGAATCACACCATACAGCCTAATCTTTAATATTTTTTTCTTTTTTATGTAAAATTATTATTACATGGATGAAATGAGGTGAACTTGATATATTTCAGACTGTAATTAACTGTCATGAAATTAAATAAACCGATATGAGATATGAAATGGTGGTTATTTACAAAGACTTAAGTGAACTTTATGGAAGAATCATTTTCCCACAAGCACTTTCACAGATGCTAAACAGTTAGTAAGCAACCGTTATTACACGTTCAATCCTGAAGAAACACTAAATTCACACAACTTCGATTCTCGCTTTCACGCCAAAAAGTCCCCCGATGATGACGTAGCAAATAATGCGTACAGCCATATATTGAACTTTAAAATCGTTTAATATGAAATATCCAACAGAACCACACATAATAATTAGATCATAATAATTTTTCACTAAAATATCTACTTCGTTAAGCAAGAACCTAGGTAGGTACTTTAAGAAAAAAATAACACAAGAGACAATATAATATAATCATTATCATACATCACCACATCACCACTTTGACCCACGCGTCAAATGGTGATGTGGTCACAGCAGATCGTGATAGTCAAACTATTCTCACGTCTGTTTCTGGGGCTTTCGTCACCAAGGCATTCTCATTGAAGAGCAATTTGGATTTCGCGCCAAATACTCGTGCTTACAACAAAATTAAATGCACTATTTCACTACCTACTGTGTGCAGGACATTTTAGTAGGGCTCAATGGAGGAAGACCCGGCCTTACGAGAGCCCTCTTCTTAGATATCGCAAAAGCGTTCAACAAAGTCTGGCACAACGCTTATGCCAGACAGACTTATGATATACATTTACAACATGAGCGTGCCAGATAGTTTTGTACTCATCATACGAGACTTCGAGACGGTACCGAGTAGAGGGAACCTGCTCTCTGCCGCGTTAAAATCTTGGCTGCTGGAGTCCCGCAAGCTTCCGCTCTCTCCCCGTTATTAATTACTTTGTAGGATGTTATATCCCGGAGGCCGCCGACTCATCTATACCTCTGCGTCAATGATACGGTTTTCTACTAGGTACTAATCGAGTAGGAAGATGTTGTTTATCTATCAAAGACTCCAGGCCGTAGCTACCACTATGGGACAGTGGTTCCGGAAGTGGTGCAAAGACATCAACACTACGAAAAGCACAACCGTACTCTTTAAAGGCGTCACTCCCCCGCTTCCACTTCTAATTTACTAAACTGTAGGTATTCAGCATCCTCTTTGACTAGCCTCTATCCAGGGCCGCTAAAGGTCAAATACTTAAGGGTACCCTCGACAAAAGGATGACATACCGTCAACAGACTAAAACAGTTCGCGACCGAGCCTCGTTCTTACTCCGTAGACTTTATCCCATGATCTGCAGGCGAAGTAAATTGTCCCTTTGTAATAAGGTGACAACAGTCCACAAAATGTTCGGTCTTGACTTATGGAAGTGCAGTGTTCGCTTTCGCGGCCCGCACACACATAAATAACCTCCAAGTCATACCACTACGTTTTTATAGGATACCCGTCGAAGCACCGTGGTACGTAAAACCTTCAGCACGGCTTCAAATTAGAATCAAAATATACATGAGTATCTGAA